TATCTATCTATCTATCTATCTATCTATCTATCTATCTATCTATCTATCTATCTCTATCAGTCTATCATCTATCCATGGCATTGTATGCACAGCTTTGCATATGCCAAGCAAGTGTTCAAAAAAGTTAGAATATAATTCTCCACAATAAGAATTGTAGTGGAATTTGGGAAGCACAGATTATTCTTCAGTTACAGAACTGCTCGACATTTGGGTAGGATTCTGAGTTATCCAGGGAAGGAATTTCCCAAAATACAATGACTTGTACACTTATGCTAATTTCACAGACCCCCATAATTAGAGATATATAGCTAATGTCTACTGCAGTCTGAGATGCGTCCATAAAATATTGTGAAATCTCTGGCTGTTGAATTACAGCATTTCTGGGAGAGCAATAGCCAGTTCATGGGATTCTTTAAAGCATCAAATGTATATTTTTATGATTTTAAACAATAAAGAATATTTAATTTTAATATTTAATATTTATTTTTAGTATTTATTTTTAATATTTAATTTTAAAGAATAAAGAATTGTCAAGATTTGGTGACTAATTAACATAACTGTGCATATCAAAGAGAGGAATAGCTATTTATTTATTTTCAAAGTTGAAATAATTGTTCATTTTGATGGCTGAAGTTAAATATAGATGCATGTTGCCAGATATGAATTAAAAAGTTGGCTTCAGTGAAATAATGAGATCTCAAATACTTTTTGCTCAGAGTATCTTTGGAGGGTGTAGTATCTCTGCCTTAAAGTATGTTTAACTCTTCCTTACAGCTAAGTGCTCTGGACAACCTATGCTTTAGGTTTTGCTCTAGCAGTGTAATTTACAAGTGCTATGGATATATGGGTCATGTTTAAAGATAAAGAGATGCTAAGAAAAATAAAAAGAAATGAAATATTTTTGTTATTGTGTTATAATGTTCAGTAGAGTTCCGTATAATATGTTGAACAGTCTTGCTACTATCTAAACATATAGAAAAAGTTTAAAAATTCTCATATTATTATACTTGCTCTTTAATGCATTTTAATAAAACACATCACTGAAATATTTTGTTTTAAACTAACAAAAAACCCTAACACCATATAACATTGTTGAGTTTGAATTTTTATTTTTTATTTTTATTTTTTATATTAATTACAGTTTATTTACTTTGTATACCAGCTGTAGCCTCCTCCCTCATTCCCTCCTAATCCCACCCTTCCTCTCTCATCTTCTCCCTGCCCCTCTCTAAGTCCACTAATAGGGGAGGTCCTCCTTCCCTTCCATCTGACCCTAGCTTATTAGGTCTCACCAGGACTGGATGCAGTGTCCTCCTCTGTGGCCTAGCTAGGCTGTTCCTCCCACGGGGGGCTGGGGAGGTCAAACAGCTAGCCATAGAGTTAATGCCTGAGACAGTCCCGATTCCTCTTACTAGGAAGACCACTTGGATACTGAGCTGCCATGTGCTATGTCCGAGTAGGGGTTCTAGGTTTTATCTATGTATAGTCCTTGGTTGGAGAATCAGTCTCAGACAAACCCCTGTGCCCAGATATATTTGGTCTTTGTGGAGCTACTGTTCTCTCCAGGTCTTACTAACTCTCTCTTCTTTCATATGATTCCCTGCACTGTGCCCAAAGTTTGGTTATGAGTCTCAGCATCGGCTTTGATACACTGCTAGGTAGAGTTTTTCAGAGGCCCTCTATGGTAGGCTCCTATCCTGCTTTTTGTTTTCTCCTACCTCCAATGTTCATCCTATATGTCTTTCTAAATAAGGATTGATCTTCTTACCCTGGGTCCTCCTTCTTGTTTAGATTCTTTAGGTTGAATAGATTTTAGTATGTTTATCCTATCTTATAGGTGTAGTATCCACTTATAAGTGAGTATATACTGTGTGTATCTTTCTGCTTCTGGGATACCTCACTCAATATGATCTTTTCTAGGTCCCACAATTTGCCTGCAAATTTCATGATTTCCTTGTTTTTAATTGCTGAGTAGTATTCCATTGTGCAAATGTACCACAATTTCTGTATCTGTTCCTCTGTTGAGGGACATCTAGGTTATTTCCAGCTTCTGGCTATTACAAATAAAACTGCTATAAACGTAGTTGAACAAATGTCCTTGTTGTGTACTTGAGCATCTTTTGGATATATGCCTAGGAATGGTATAGCTGGAGCTTGAGGAAACATTATTCCTAATTGTCTGAGATAGTGCAAGATTGATTTCCATGAGCTCAAATTTGAATGCACATTTGTTATATGACTTCTCTGCTTGGCTCTTGCTGTGAGTTCCCTCTTGGGGAGGCCTCAGTGCTTTCTCTATTCTTCTCACACAAACACACGTACTCTTTTACTTGTTCTTTTTAAGAATCCTTACCTGAAATACTTTTGCTTAGAGATTTTTTTCTCATATCTGCCTGCTATTAGGTTAATTTTACAAAGACAGAATTTACAGTTGATGTCATATCCCTAGAGGCAGTGATACTCCCAGTTCATGGCAGATACTCTTCAAGAATCTGAGTGGATGAAGCAGTAAGTTAATATACTTGGAAAGCAACAACATCATAAGTAGCAAGGAAGAATTACACATAATCCATTACTTTTTCTATTTATCTTTTATTTCACCAATAGTAGAGAAGTAATTAAGTTGCTTGCTTATTTTACTCCATTTTTTTTTTTACCAATCAAGTAATGTTGAGAGAACAAGAATGGAAAGAAATAACAATTGAGGGATTATAAAAATAATTGTGAAATTTGGACTGTTTGGATGATCATGAGCATGCTAATTTGTGTCACAAGGGGATAAGCTCAGGTTTTGGAAAAGGATTGGGAAAATATCAACCTTCTCTTCTAGCAATTTTCTATGTAAAGTAGATAAGTAGGTTTAAAAGAAGGTCATTGAAACAGGATTATAACCATTTGTTAAATAAAAAAAATGATGATCTACAGCCAAAATTCCCAATTTTTTTTTAATATCTTGATGAGCCAAGTAACAACCTCTAAATGTGTTTCAAATCATTTTGGAAAAGTGGTTATTAGATTGCATCAGCTGATTCTTTTGTATCTTATCTTGTACAAAGAAGTGGGAATGCAACAGAAAATCTACTATGGGAAATGACACACATGTAGACAGATTGGAGGAAAGATTACAACTGTGACCCTCTCATGCTGAGAGCAGACAATATATATGACTTAGACTTGGTTTCAGTTTCTGAAAACCAAGGATGTTTTCTCATTACCTGGTTCTATCTCCCATCTCCATGTATGGTACCATGACCTAATATATAATCTTCAATTACTAATTTAAGCCTTATTAGAGGTTTCACAATTGAAAGCATTTTATTATGTTATCATATAAAAAGTCAACTTGGGAAAGTTTTCTAATACCAATAGAAAAGTCATTTTCTTCTTCATATTTCAGCATTATCATCATCATCATTACCATTATCATCACAACCATCATCACCACTATTACCATCACAATCCCCTCTCTTCCTACCCCCATTATTTTTTCTGTTTCTGTTCCTACATCCCTTCCTTCCTTTCTATTCCAGCTCTTCCTCATCTCCTGCCACTGGCTGAAATATACTGATCTCTCCTATCTATGTTTATCCATATATTCTTTCATTTACTTCAAAGCTTCTGTGAAAAAGAGTTTGAGACTCAAAAATTAATCTTTTCTCTTTTAAATTAGTGTTCATTACATTAATGAATTAATTAATCAGTGTTCATAGCAATATGGGGCATGCAAGTGGTAGAGACTGAAGAAAAGTGAATAATTGGGCAGGTGCTCTCTGAATGGAAGAATTGTTCTACTTAAGGTGAATTAGAGAAGAAAATAAATGTGCTATAGATATCAGGGCATCTGGACTTTTTTCTAAGAACGTGTGTCTAAAAAGTTCTGGAAAACTGTTGCCTGGCATCACCCCCTCTCACTGTGATCTTTTTGAGGTACCCACATGACTAAGTTTCTAATATTTATACAGTGAAGTATGTGACCTGTGTTGAATGACTTATTGTGACTTTCCTTTTGGTACGAACAGCATTAAAATCTCACCGCTAGTCACTCATGTATACCAAAGCCAAAAGGCCACAGCTGGAGGGTAAGTGAAGGCACAGGCCAGAGCAGATGTCTGGTTCTACCCACCATAATAGACACTCAAGAACCATGCCCTTATGCTGAAAATCTCAGAGCTTGAGGATCCCACCCACGAATTAGTGAGAACCCTTTACTCTTAGGGGAGAGGACAAACGTGGTGTGTTGGATATCACTGGACTTTCCTTCTAAGATCTGACCTGTTTTATAATGTTAGTCATAGGGGCATCAGGACCAATTAAATGGATGTGTATAGTTAGTGTGTGTGTGTTTCCCATGCTCCTGTTGTTTGTTTAATTTATTTTCACACCCATGAATTTGCTAACTAGAATATAATGTGGCCAAGGCTGGATGGTTTAACACAGAGTCTTGCCTTCAAATCCTAAGCCTTGTTTTAATTTACTTTAGAGTTTCTCACTTCTGTCCTCAAGACTCATAGTTTTTATAACTCACTATAATTCTAATTTACTTGTAATATTGTTTGTAAAGAAGCTGCTTATCACAACATGTGGTGTGGAATAAACAGTATACAGCATTTAATATTACAGAAGGTGAGGTGAACTCCCATCCCAGTGGGAAGATGGAGTCATAATTCACTCTGATAATAACTGAGCGCATGGCCTGCTGTACAAGACTTTACATGCATTCTAGAACTTTGACAAAAGGTGCTCACTCCTGTCATGGAGTGAGTATACAGACTGTATCCTAGGGAAGTGGAAGTTACATAGACAGACAAGAGGATCGTGGATAGAATAAATAAGAGGATGCTGCATAGTAGAGACAAGAGGATTGCGAACAGGATAGATGAGAGGATGCTGCCTAGGACACAGCAGATGA